ATCATGGTGCCTAACTTTTCAGGTTCCTAGAAAATCACAAGCACACTACTGTGATCCACAAAGCCTGAGTTAGGTATCTAGATTTCTGTACAATGAATGGGAACAGATAGGTACCTGAGCATGTGATCCACAGAGTCATCACTGTACACTGGGAGCTGCCTAAGCTAGCCAATGGGAGACACTGACAAGAGGAGAGTATGTGAAGCCCTGACCCTCTTTCAGACACAGGTGCTTAAGTACAGGATGCAGAGAGGCTGCTGACAGGGAGAAGGGTAAAGAAGCAGTTGTCCCAGCACCTAGCAATTTAAGAGGGTCTAGGGCTCTGGCCACTGCTGCTGCTACCATGGCAGCAACAGCGACTGGTGCCCTGGGCCTTTTAAATTGCTGCTGGAGCCTCATGCAATGCTGACCGCTGGGTGGAGAGGTGCAGCACAATCCAGGTGGTGCTGAGGGCTGGCTGCCTCTAGACCCGCCCCTTCTACCTGAGGCCCTGCCTCTTATAGGGGCACAGAGCCAAGCCCCTCCCTCACTGCCCATGGCCCAGTGATGTCTGTCACCAACCTTGGATCTGTGAGCCAGGAGGCAATAGGTGTTTGCCTAAATTGTGTTCTGGGTAGATATACTGAGAAGCCATTTACTTGATTGGGCCTTTCAGGCAAGTTCACATACAGGTGGGAAGGGAGACTCCGTCCCTTATAACATTTAATAGTGCTGCATAAGAAAATAAATATTAAAAACCGTATTAGCATTCCTAAAAAGAGTGAATAAGTGAAACTAAAGAATCACCATAGGCCTTTAATGATCCTTGATAGCTATCTAACTACACACACACACACACAACTGTAATCTTAAGAAATGTATGCAAGCTGTGTTCCTATTACTGACTTTATCGTTCCCCTCACTATGTGGTTTGTTCCACACCTCCCACTACATCTTGTTCCAATTTAGACAGGAAGTGATTCAGAGCAAGGACAAATATGTTTGTGTAATTACAAGCAAAATGGCACTCCAATCCTGACTAGAGCCTCTAAGCATCACTGTAATATAAATAAACTAGTTTCTTCTTACAAAGGCCAACATGTAAAATTTTCAGCATAACCACTTCATTGTTGTTTAAAAGGGTAAATGTGAGAGGGGTTTGATGGGAAACACCCTTTTAACATGTTCTTAAGGCTCCTCCTGAATTTTAACTTAGTTTTCTGTGTGAGTTATTCATGTTAGTGACATCTTGTGATAAGAGGGTTACTGTTATATTGTGACAATTTGTGATCTAGGGTTACTTATTGGTTAGTGGCTTATGTCAAGTATTTGGGTCTTAGGCCTTAGTTAGTTTAGCTAAGCTGTTGTTTTATCTTGTTACAATATTAATTCTTATATTTCACCTTTATATACTACATATACCGGTTATCTTTAATCCTTAGCTACACAGGAAATGCTCTTAATCAAATGGACTGTGGCAAATATCAGAAATAAAACTGCATGAGCATCCTGCTCCTCATTACCACTCCTCTCCCATGACCCATAACTCTGGCGCTCCTAGTGCGTACTTCCTCCTAGCATTCCTAGTCTATGCAGAGTACTTTTGCTCTCTTTCTTTCCTTGGTTAGCTTGGTAGCACTGCTGGGCAGCAGAGGAGATAAATAGAGAAAGACCTTAGGCCTCACAGTTTATTTTAGGTAGTGAAGATGAACCAGGCAGGCTGCATGATGAACAGTGTGGCTTAACGTGTAAGTTATGTAATAACATCTTTAATTACATACATTAAACATACACGCCTCTATGCTTATGCAATAAAATACTTGTGTATGAAGAACCACACAGAATATTTTATGCAAAAGACAATCAACTGTAAGGTACCTTGTCTTGCTCCCTGTGAGCTGCCACAAATGTCTTCAGCCAGTCAGAGTTGAAATGCTGAATCCTCACTACTTACCAGTATTTGAGTTTGGTGCAGATTAAAGCCCCATGCCTTTCACTTCCCTAGGGATATAAAATCCTGGTTAATCAGTTAAATCTAATGTTTAACTGGTTAACAAACTAGCAGGAACTCACCACTCCAACCCGCCAGCCCACAGGGCTCTTGCACCTGGCCCGTGCTGGGGATGGGGCTTATTCTGCTGGTTCCTGGCCCCCAGGCGGGGCTGGGGCTGGGGCTGGGACAGGCTCTGCCAGCTCCCAGCCCCCAGCTGCTGGGGCCAACTTCTGGCCCCAGCCACCAGACGCAGAGGGCTGCTCATCAGGTAACCAGTTAACTATTACCCAGTAAGCATCACTCAGTAAGGGTGATGCTTACCGGGTAACTGATTACTGGTTCATATCCTTAGAAACCACTCAATGTACTGGATCCACAAGGAGGAGTGCGTTAAATTGTACCTGAAGACAGGATTGTCAGCTTAGAATGAGGAACAAGCTAAGACTTTCCATCACAAAGGTTTAGGTCCAGCATTTTACAGGCTCATAGGAGGTTAATTTAACAAAGGACTGTTACCTCATCTAGTCTGAGATTCCTAAGTTAGACTGTACTACACTTGTCTCTCCAAAGTTGCCAAATTGATTATTTGATTCATACACTGAGAAAACAACCTTTACATGCATTGGTTAAAAAAATGAGTATATATCAGTAGTTATGGCATAACAACAAAACACAGGTGTTCCACATCAAGGTTATTTGTCTCACATTTTGATGCATCGTGGGAGATGTGGAATATGGAGTAGGATGTTACTTTCATAACAACAGAGCAGCTGCAGTAGGTATTTTGCATGGAGCATAGAATTTGCCCTGACTCAAGAAGAGAGATGGAATATATGAGAATATATGCTGAGTTAAAGCAATTCTAGTTAAAATAATATTGTAGTAACTGTTAGTCATGTTCAGTTAGAATGAGTGGGTAGAAGAGGCCTGGCAGTGTCTGTCTGATGCAGTTTGCTTCAATAATGACATCTACTGATGATGTGTATGTCACAAGCTTGAGCCCATTGCTCAGAATTGGAACAGAATTAACAAGCCACATCAATACCCTAAGAAATTTGAGGCGATCCAGACCCAAATCCAAACTATCCAGAAGAAAGAACAGCGGTATATAGTCATTATATACTTAAATTTATGCAGGGAGACTACACCTTATCTGACAGGACTGAGAATTTCCCTCCTAGAAATGCTGAATGGCAGTGCTGTCTTTCCAGTTATTATTCCGGTAGCAGCCACAGGTCTGAGCTCCATTGTGCAATGCCCTGCGTAAACATAACACAAATATGTTATAAGAATACAGAATAAGAGGACCTAGACTACTGTACCTGAAGCCAACCCTAAAAGGTCTGGCAGCTCTTCTGGAGACATCTGTAGTATGCACATGAGAAAGTAAGCTGCCATAAAAACATGGATTTGTTTTGGCTACAAAACTTCACCGGACAGAATGGACGCTCTCCTGAAAACATGGGTTTGAAATCCTTCCTTGTACTATTCCAGCAAAGCCGGGGGGTGTCCCAAGAACGATGCAGCAGCACTGGTTATGAGGAGAGTTAGTGACTATTCTTCTCACTGTATGGGGCACTTTGGGAAATAGTGGAGGTTTCCAAGATTAAAGTTCCAGGCTGTGTCTACATTGGCACCCTTTTCCGGAAAAGGGATGCTAATGAGACCAGTTGGAATTGCAAATGCCGCGGGGGATTTAAATATCCCCGCGGCATTTGCATGAACATGGCTGCCGCTTTTTTCCGGCTCGGGGTTTTGCTGGAGAAAAGCGCCAGTCTAGACGGGATCTTGCGGAAAATAAACCCTTTTTCCGCAAGATCCCTTATTCCTAGGGTTTATTTTCCACAAGATCCCGTCTAGACTGGCGCTTTTCTCCCCGACTGGTCTCATTAGCATCCCTTTTCCGGAAAAGGGTGCCAATGTAGACACAGCCCCAGTGTCTCCCAGCAAGAGGTACAGGGGCTCAGCAGAGATCGCTGCCTGCATATGATAAGGGAATGGCCTTGTAGTCCCTCCTTTCAGTGCATGTTTGTCACTCACATGGGGCAAGCCCATTTGGGAATGTAAGTTCTCTCTGTAGAATAGACTTGAGGTTAACTCCACTTCTCTTAGGCTGTGTCTACACTGGCCACTTATTCCGGAAAATCAGCCGCTTTTCTGGAATAACTTGCCAGCTGTCTACACTGGCCCCTTGAATTTCCGGAAAAGCACTGACGATCTACTGTAAAATCATCAGTGCTTTTCCGGAAAAACTATGCTGCTCCCGTTCGGACAAAAGTCCTTTTCCGGAAAAGGGCCAGTGTAGACACACAGATTTCTTTTCCGCAAAAAAGCCCCGATTGCGAAAATGACGATCGGGGCTTTTTTGCGGAAAAGCGTGTCTACATTGGCACGGACGCTTTTCCGGAAAAAGTGCTTTTCTGGAAATACTTATAACGGAAAACTGTTCTGTTTTAAGCATTTCCGGAAAATCATGCCAGTGTAGACGTAGCCTTAATGTATAGGAATTAATTCGGACTTTATGTCACAAGAAACAGACAATGAGATACGGAGCTTTTCACCTCCAGAGCACCAGCCTTGGTCAGTTACCAGCTGAGAGTTATTTGGCGAAACCATTAGATGGCTTCAGTCCAGTTGTTCCATACAAGGTGGCCCCCACATGATCAGATGGCACAGGTAGTAGAGAGGGCAATGATTTAATGAACTATAGACACTCAAGAGTTAGAGGTGCTCCTTCTAAGTCAGAGTGAGTGCTGTCTGTCCTGCAAGACACCTGTGTTGTACCTATTCTGCAAACTGAAGTCCTGCAATCTCGAGGCCTATCAACATGACCCATTTCACCAGCCCAGAATTCACTTACCTCTTAGACAAATGTAATGTACAAGCAGTTACCGAGGTTAGAGTGGAGGAAATTAGAAGTCTCTTTGAGATACTGAGGCTTCCTAGGTTCCCAAGTTTGCGTGCCTGCAGTCAGGAGGGCAAGAAGCACGTGGCATGAAGAGGGATAAGAATCTCACAATTCAGGAGGTTATTTATCCAAAGGAAAGTTTATTTGAGAAAAATGACAAACTCCCCAGACCAGTAATTACAGGCAATTCTGTGCAAGTTCCCCATGTCTGTTCCGCAATCGCCATACCATAGGAGCTAAAAGCAGAGACAGAAGCTGAGCAGTATCAATGTGACTTCAGAGCAACAGTCATTTGGGTGTAATGCTAGCCTCACAACCTCAGTTATGAAGAGACCTCACTGTGCCATTTTAGAAAAAAGGGGGGGAGCGAAAGCAGAGATAGGAGAAGGTGCTCCAAATAAGTCTTTTCATTCTCACCTTTTTTAAGCCTTAGCAGCAGATTGTGGGAAGATAAACTACCTATAACTACCTTTTCTAGCTCAATCCCATCCTGAGACATCACTGCTGTGGTGGTGTAACAGCTTATCCATGCTTAAAGTGATAAACCAGGAGAGCCTTGGGTTCTGAATAGAACCATTAAAAAAGCAGAAACTAAAAGCAGTTTGGGCACTTGCAGGTAGAATTAACACGGTCAGGATCTTGTAAGTAAGGAAAGAGCAAAGAGTCTAAAAACATACAAAATTTCAGGACAAATGATACAAAACTCCAACATGTCTAATGAATTTAGAGGACATTGGAGGGTCTTTAGATATTCTCCTCTTTCTACCTGATAGCCTCTGGCCTTTTTTTTAAACAGCAGAAAGATAAATTCAGACTAGAAAACGTTCCACAAAGTAATTTCAGAAAACACAATGTTTTGTCTGACTAGCAGGGAGACCTATGGGCTGGAAGGATGAGGGGGTAAGCCCTGCGGGGCTTTTGGCTCTAAAGGAATGCAGAGAAAATGGAAAATGTTTCATCATTCTGCCCGGAAACTCCTGTGGGACAAATCTGAGAAAGGAACATACCTGGTTTTCTCCAGCATGGCCTGTTTAATCCAACACCATATTTGAACAACAAAGGACAACAAAGGACTTCTCAATCAGTGCAGCACAGCTGCTCTCACCAGTTTAAAGGAGCCCCCAAGACATTTCTGTCATTGTCTCATTGCTCTCATCAACTTAAGAGATCTTTAAGTAGGGGCATATCCATGTTCTCATTGTGTACTATACTCCAGTTTATCTGCACTCCCTCAGCTCCTCTGAATGTCAGCCTTTAGGGCAGTGTTTCCCAAATGGTGCTCCGTGGAACCCCGGGGTTCCATGAAGTGAAAGTAAGGGTTCCGCGAGAATTAGGTCTCCCCCCCCCCGACCTCAAGAGACCTTCTTCTCTTAAACCTTCTCTGGTTTCCTGCTGGCTTTCAGACACCTCCCCTCCCCTCCCCCACTGTCACTCTGCATTTCCAAAGCCAGCTCAGGACATGCGTGACTGCATTTTGGCCGCAAGGTCTCCCTGTTTTTTGGGGGGTTTTTCCCCTCGACAAATTTTCCTCCCGGCTGTAGGGGTTCCTCAAAATTCTTCTGAGCTTAAAAGGGTTCCATGGCCAAATAAAATTGGGAAACACTGCTTTAGGGCATTCCACACATCCCCAGAACACAAAGTAGGGCATGTCATATATAGAGAATGAAGGCCCTCCAAGCTATACTCAACATTAACTCTAGCTGTCTCAGATGAGAAGACTTCACAAAATTCCCAACCTACCATGCTCCCATCCAAAAAGGGGCCCAAGCCTACACTGCCAATCTGTAGCTGAGCAAGTTTTTCTTGTTTGACAAAAAGGTCTCTCAGTGACCAAGGCACTTTCAGGAAACTGCCGCATCATTTCAGAAAGAGAAGCAAATCCAAGATAGACACCTGGGGACAAGGTGGGGCCAACTCTCAACAGCTTGTTTGAGTCAAGCAGGATTCTCCTCTTCAGGCTCTGCAACATCTTGCCAAGTCTGTTAGCTCTCCTTCTTCCCAACCCAACCCTTACGCACTTGAATGCACTGACCCATCATAACAAAAATTCCAGCTCCCACAGGAAGAAACACCAAGGTCTGTGACAGGTTAAAGCTCAGTGCTCTCTCACTTCTAGCACTGTAACCCCTGTTACTTTGCACCAAGCTCTGTTTCATTAAGGGTTGGGTTCCAGAACATCAGAGCTCAGAGTTCCCCCCTCCCATATTTTAGCTCATAGTACCTAATAAGCTTAGCCAGTTCAAGTGGTTCAGAATAACGTGATGGTCACAAACAGATGGGCAACATCACCAAGCTTAGAATATAAAAGGAGAAAAGACAGCGTGCTAAACCAACTGCAGCTGTCATTGAAACATAATGTTTATTTCATCACTGCCTTAGGAGTCCCCAAACCCACCATCCAACAGGAGATCAGAATCCCCTCTGTAGTCTCCAGTGCTTATACTCCCCTCCCCTCTTAGGGGACAGTTCCTGCAGAAAACCTCTAGTCAGCATGAATCATCTGCAAGATGGCTCTGAAAGGCCATGGCTGGGTCCCAATGGTGTCCAGCTAGGTTTGAGAAGAGGGGAAGGGGAATTGCCCCTTTACTCAATCAGCTTCTTGGCCTTGAAGAAGCGACGCAGATAGAAGACCTGCCAGGTGGCCAATCCGATGAGACAGAACATGGAGAAGATGCTGAAGTACAGGACCCGGGTGTTGGTCGACTCTGAAACAGACAAACCAAACCAAAGCTCAGATGCCCAGTGTCAGGATAAAAGATCCTCTTGAGGAGAGGAAGGTCTCTCAGAATTCCTCTTCCCTCAACCCTGCAGAATGTCAATGGTGAAATTTCAGGAGATCTGGGGGCCAGAGGGAGGGTACTGGGTACTGAGCAGATGCAGCACCAACATGAGGTTATTCCCATGGCAGAATCATGAGCATTGTGTGGGAGGGAAGGAAATGACTTCTAGAGAGGACTTATTGAGTGTACTCATCCCAGAAGCTTAAAGGTCTCTCAACAGAGTTCAGAACAGATAGCAACAACTGTAATTGCCTAATCCCACATTTCTCAAACTGTGGGTCCGTACCACTCGGGGGGTCACAAGCAACTTAGAGGGGGGCTGCGGTATCACAAAGTTTGAAAACCCCTGGCCTAATCTTCAAATTCTGTTCCATTAACCAGATGTAGTGAGAATATAGCTCTTACAGCTTCAGTCTTCCTTGGGGGTATATGCACTCTTACCATTGGTGTCCCGCATCTCCTCCTCTCGCTTCTTCATATAAGCAAAGTCATTGACAATGGACTCAGAGAGGTCCTCCAGGCGCCGTAGTTCCACCTCCAGGGGCTTTAACTTCTCCACCTTAGCAATCTGTTAAGGGAGAATCGGTGATTCACTGAGCTAGAAACAGCAATCCTTACATGGGTCTAAGCAATCAGCCTGACATCATTTTTCAACCTCACATGGTCTGGGCCTGGGCCATTTCTCCCTTGGGATGGTGCCCTCTGCAGACCAGAAAACCACAGGCATCTTCAAAACAGTGAGGGTCTCCACACTATTACTCCATTACCCCATCCACTTCTAGCAAGATATCTATAGCTGCTCCTGCTCACAGCAGGAACATAGCATGCATGCACGTATTAAACATATTCCCTTCTGCTTCTGCCTAGTTCTTGTTCCTTCAGAATTGGTTTCTGGGGCTTGGGCTGATGGAGTCTGCCATGTGGCTGAAAGTTACAAGAAAAATTACAGGTTCTTTTGTGGTTGGTATGATAAACTCCATGCCAAAGACCTGCACTCAGGCCCTCCCCACAAGCTGCAAGGAGGATAGAGAAAAAAGGCACAGGAAATTCAGTTACAAAGCCCACACCAGTACTGTAACAATTTCAGGGTTGAAAATTTAAACATACCAAATCAGAAAGTTCTAAGTTCCCCTTTCCAGAAGGAATGTAACTTGATTACACTGCACTTAAATCTAAGGCATCAATGTGAGCACACACAATTAGGGATGTTAAAATGTGTTTATGTAAACATATAACCACTGAAAAATTCAGCGGTTACACCAGTGTTTCCCAGCCAGGGTTCCACAGAACCCTGGGGTTCCGCAGACCATCGTCAGGGGTTCCGCAAGAAATCATGGAATAAATAAATACATTTTTTTTCTTACAATGTAAGCTGACATATAACAGCTCTTTACAAATACATTTTCTTGACAATAATTTGGTCCTGCCTTGAGGGCGGGGGGCTGGACTCGATGACCTCTCGAGGTCCCTTCCAGTCCTATGATTCTATGAATTTAGCAGTAATTGAATTGCATTCCCCGCTGTCAACTTTTTCTGGCCAAGCAAACGTTTTCATAGGTAGGGGTTCCTCAGGAAATGAAAAATTATTTTAGGGGTTCCTACATGGGAAAAAGGTTGGGAATCACTGGGTTACATGGTCACATGTGGGGTGGCAGTTGCAGTTGGCTCCCACTGCCCCCCCCCCCATGCTTTTGTCTCTGATACAGAGGGAGGGAGGCAGCTCCAAGGGAGCTGGTGCATGCAGGGAGCCAGCTTTTAAGCCAGCTTCCCATGAGTACTGGGAGCCTGCGTGTAAATGCTGTTATGTTTTCACATCCCTACACACAATATGTGAATATTATGTATACAGGGGCTGCTGGGAACAGGATGAATACAAATTGTTTATTTTAAAATTTAAATCTGATTTTTTTTTAAATGTAAATACAGGATTTTTTAAATACACTTATTTTTTAAATTAAGACAAGCTATATTAAGGTCTAAAGTTACTATATTCAAATTAATTAACTAATATTAAGCAATATGTTTGGTGCCAATATTTAAAGAAATCAAACCACTGAACTTATTGATGTCACTGTCTCGGCATCTAGAGTCAGCTTTTGACCACAGTAGCCTCTTCTTCGAGTGCAGAGAGAATATTTTCTTCATTTTAGTTTATTCATTCAGTTCAGTTTAATGACTAACTCAAAGTTAAGAAACCAATAGGAGTCAAAAGACCAGAAAACTAGTTTCCCCTCTTCCAGTGTATAAATTAGGGATGTGAAGGACTAGTTGACTATTCAATAAGCAAATGCTTATCGGCAGGGCTCGCCAAGTGGTGGCAAGCCCCGCTCGCCAGCCGCGCGGTTCTGGGCTCTGCACATGCACAGATCATTCTGTGCATGCGCAGATTGCTCTGCGCCGGGTCTTCCGGGGTGAGTAGATTACATTGTTTGTCGAGCCCTGCTTATCGGATAGTCAACAAGCTTGTCAACTAGTCGCTTCCCCCACCCCTTTGCTGCCTCTATAAGAAAGAGGCAGTAAGGGGGAGGAGGGAAAAGAAGGGAGTACTTCAAAGCGGCAATGCTGCACAGAATCTGGACCAGACCTGGGCTCACACAGCGCTGACACTTTGAAACGCTGCTGCAGGAGCCTGGCATCAGTGGGGAGCCAGCCTGGCCGTATGGAGCCCAGGGTCAGTGGGGAGCCCGGAGTCAGGCTCCTCATGGCATTTCAAAGTGGCAGCACCACACAGAGCCCAGGGTTTGCAGGGAGTCCCCAGATGATCCCGGGCTCCACGCAGCACTGTTGCTTTGAAACATTGTGGGAAGCCTGACTCGGTGCTCCTGCAGCGTTTCAAAGCTGCAGTGCCACATAGAGCCTGGGGTCAGTGGGGAGTCCCCAGCTGACCCTATGCTCCATCTGGCACTTTCGTCTTTAAAGAGTAGCAACAGCCCTAGAGCAGTTTCTACACTTCAAAGGCGGAGATACGCTATCAACTAGACAAATAGGAGATGCAAAATGCATCAACTATTCGATTAGTCAATTACCCGCAATTTAACATCCTTAGTATGAATAGAGACTAGGATAAGATAATAGGACAAGATCTACTTGTTCTAAAATCCTAGACGTGGTGATCACAAAAATCATGTCAATTCATTAACTACAAATATTACCTTTGTTTAACAAATTAGTTAATTTTAATGCAAAACATGGTTTGATAAACTTTTTTCTTATATATTCAGCACATTTAATATAATTTTAGTTGTTTGTGTATTTTAATTGAATTTGAATTTTTATACAAATAAAGCTGGTCAGAAATTAGAATTAAAAAATTAATCAAACTAGGAAATAAGAAATGCATCATTCATTTTAATGTAATAAAAATGTAAATATAAAAAATTTAAATAAATGCAAGTTAAGCTATATAATAATTGTTTAAATATGTTAATGAATCAAATCAATTATTTAAATGAATCAGCCCTGGCTGGAAAGCAGTTTACATTTCTTGCCATTGCTACATTTATATTCTCCTCCCTAGTGCCGTAATAACACAGATTCCTGCCATTTATTCACCATTATTAGTATTGTCATCTGCTCTCTGAAACCATACTGAGGTGCTAATATGCTTAGTAAAGAATCTATTAATCAAAAATCTTTCCCTGGATCATTTCTGTTGTCTGCATTGTTACATAAGTCACCTAGGCTCCATAAATAAGGTAGGAACAATCGCCTTATTGGACCTGGATCTTGTTGTCCTGTAGGGAACAATAATTCTGTGCTTGTGTAGAGATGCAGAATTCCCCCAGGAGTCAAATAGACAGCAGAGAGTATTCTATAGCTCCAGCTGGTTTTTGTGGATTGTGTGTGTTTATAGAACTGGGGAGCGTGCTGCCCTATAAACAGTTGTTTTAAAAAGTAGCAGCAAGGGAGAGTGTATTTAAAAAGATATTTAGGATCAAAAACTAATATTAGCTAATTGATCTTTTCATTAAAGGGCTTTACGTATACCATGTGTACCCTTGGAAAGAATAGGCATTCCTACTGCCACTGCCTTCTCAATTAATCCCCTTCCCATGCAGGGGCTCACAGCAGACAATCGTTCCTAGTAGTTTAGGGTATATTTACACTGAATAAAAAAACAGACACACCAGTCATCAGAGTACTGGTTAACTTGTTCTGGCTCGAGCTGTGGGGCTAAAAATTGCAAGTGAGAAGTTTCAGGCTTGGGCTGGAGCCTGGGCTCTAAAACCCCACAATGGAGATGGGTTTCCCAGTTCCAGCTCCAGTCTGAGCCTCTTTCCTGCCATTTTTAGCCCAAAAGCCTCAGCTTCATGAGCCCCGAGACAACTGACCCAGGCTCTGAGACTCGCTGTCACAAGTTTTTTTCTTTTTTGCTTCAGTGTAGATAGCCTCAGTGACTAAATCTCTGAGACACACCCCATGAAACAAGAGTGGAAGTGAGTGAGACTTGGATGACTTCCTCAAAGATGTTGCTCTCTTCATCCAGAATTGAAGGGTGGTGAATGGAAAGGCCGTGCTGGGAAAACCCTAAGCTTCTCATAGGCCAAGCCCCGAACACACCTTTGGCCAAACATGCAGGATTGAAGGGGGATAATAGGTCACGCACTGGTGCAGCTAAGGGGAGATCTGTTAATTCACTACAAATACACCCAGGCATCCAGGCACCCCTCCTGCTCACTATAATGCCACTATTCCATTACTAACAAGCATGGATGCTCTGAGGATTTGTCTAAAGCAGTTATTTTTGCAGTGGCACAATTACACTGGTGCATATTCCAACCCAGTTGTACTGCACTGGTGTGAAAGTGACCAATATTGGTGCGGCTTACCTGTTTTGAAACTAGGGTGAGCCCAATCTATAACAAAAACTTGCATCTGTGTGAACAATCTCCTCACGAACCCTGCTCATCCATCCCTCCCTCTCCCCAAGACTTAATCAACCATTTGTCTTTGAGGTAAGAATCAGAGTCACAGTTAAAGGGAGACTAGAAGCTGAAGTTTTGCAGAAGGCCTTGACGGGTAGCATATTTCAACATAAGAGGCAGGAGCAGAGTCCTTTGAATCCAGCTGTATCTAATTCACAGACTGTGCACTAGAGGGCAATCCTTCCTCTGCCAGCTATGACTGGGCCCTTCATCAACTTGTGTTGTGAAAACTTGGGAGGAAATATGCATGGACAGAAAGAAAAGAGCTCTTCTGCAGAAGGAGACTCAGAAACTTGTGTGGATACTAGGCACCCAGCTTTTTCACTGTCCCTTACTCTAGGCCAAGGAAAGTCTTCACCACAATGCACATGAGCTGTTGAATCAGGGAGTTGCCCATGACTGGACACTCTATTTTTAGATATTAGAATAATAGCCATGTAAGTCTGAAAGGGACCTTGATAAGTCATTCAGTTTAGTCCTCACACTGAGACAGGACTAAGCGTTACCTAGATCATTCTTGGCATGTGTTTGTCTAACCTGTTCTTAAAAACAACCAATACAGGTGGTCCCACAGCATCTCTAGGTAACTTGTTCCAGTGCTCAGCTACCCTTACAGTTAGGCAGTTTTTCTAATGTCTAACGC